CCACTATTGGTGTTTCAGGTCACTATTTGGTATTAGCCAAAATATTGTGTATGGGACAACAGCCATCAATGAGCTTGCTTGAACTGGAGGGATAATTTAAGGATGCTTCGCCTTTGTTTTCACTTGAGCTCATCAGGTAGACAGGTTATGTTCCCCGTGTTTGGGCATAACATCTTCAAGCCTTTCAAAATCCCTTGATCCTCACAGCAAAACATACAGTTAATATTTCTTTATCAAATGGTCACCGGCAGGACTTGTTTTGCACGAATTTCATTGGGAAAAAAGCTCCCTCCTTGAATTGTGTCTCCCTAACAGTACTTTGAATTTACAGGCATAGTATTAAGCTGCTTGTATCTTTCTGAGTGGTTGTCTTCTCTCAGTGATGGAAACCTGAGCTGTGGGGATTCGGCAGGCTGTTATATGATGTCATGTGGACGTTTTCTTGCTGTCACCTTGCAGAACGTCGGTACGGTGCTTGTTTGTATTTATCATTTGAGATTGGTCTGATAATGACACACAATGAGAATACTTTCAGTCCAAACAACACGAAATCCCTGCTCAACATGTCTGTTTCTCAAAGAATAAATCCCTCCTGTACCATGGTATTTGAAAGTTTTAATAGTAGATGCCTATAAGATATTTTCTATCAGATATGGTTTCAATTTTCTTTTTTTCTTCTGAATGGGCCGTGGTGCTTTATTGAAGACCCGTTGTGCCTCCGGTTTTGATTTAGTGTTTGTGAGTTTTGTGATCTCATTGCCCAGTATGGAAAATATTAGACAAGGTCCAGATTGCGTGCATTTAGCAGGCTAGGATCAACATGGGGTGAGGAATATAAAACTGAGTGTACAGAAGTAAAGCTAAAATGTCATAATTTAACCGTCTGAGTTCCTGCCTGTCTTCTAACCTTGCTTAGTCTTAAAAAAAAAACTTCACATAAGCTAGCAAGAACATCCAGGTTATATTTATACGTCTGAATACCATCAACGAATTATAGCCAATTATTTGCACGTGTATATATCGTTGTAGATCATTTAATAAAACAACAATAATGAACCATTTTAAAAAGTAATATTTAGATGAAGAAAATTATAATAACTAAAAGGAGGGGGTCCATTCTTTGAATCTGATTCAAACATTATGAGGGAATGAAAAAGCTAAAATATTTTTTAACTCTGACTCAATTTAAAAATAGATATACATATCAAATATAATCTGGATAACAAATTATCCAGGTTTTATTGTTTTTTTTTTCTTAAAGTTGAATAAGTAATACCCTATGTCATTGCACCTGACATACGTAGTACATAATTTTATAAACATAAAAAATGAGTATACTGTATATAAGTTTCTGTGGTATAAAGTATTCATGCTAAAAAAATACACAGAAATCTGGCAATCACAGAAAAATGGAAATATAAACGTCCTGTTATGATGTGGTCTGCACATTTACTCTGAGATGAATGCCTTGTATCCTAAACTTTGCTTAAATTCTGAAAATATTAATAAGAGCATTTTATGCTGGCAGTGTAAAAGCTAGTCATTAAGATAATTTACATAAAAATGTTTCTTGAGGCAGCCTACTTCTGTAAACACATTATCACATTTGTTCCTAACTGAATAAGAAAGTTATCTTACATTTATTTATGGTTACATTTGTGCAGGACTGCAGAAGTGTTCATATGTCGGCAAAAATTAATCATTTTAACACAGTCTGGTCCATTCCTGGTTTCTCTTTGAGGTTAATGATTCCACATAGTTTGATTGGAGTTACTCCACATTTTATCAGCCTTGCTGGTAACCTTAATAAATCTGTCCTGTGTGTTGGTATGGTCATTGTTAGGCTGAGCCTTGTTTACCACATACAAAATATGCAGCAATTGTAATACCATTATGTGTTTGCAACTATCCGAGAAATATTTAATTATTGCTATTACTTCAGCTTAAAACATGTTTTATAAGGGACTAAACCAGAGTTTGGACAGGCAGTTTTCTTTTTCACAATAAACAGCTGCAAAATGAGCTAAGCTGATTGAGGAGCTTTATAGAAAAAAACAGACTGTTAAACTTACCCTAAACACTGAAACCTTAGTAGTCAAAACAACAAATTATTTTGACTTACATCATGCAGAACTGAATTTACCAGATATGTCACATTCTTTGCCATATACAAGATGACAGGGTGATTAATGTGCTCTTTATCAATGACATGTCTTTTTCAACATACAAAGATAACACAAACATTGGAGGTCAAAGTTGCAGGGATACCAAGGAGATTGTATTGAAGTACAAATAAAAATGAACTAGCACATCCTGCTAATTTTTGTGGAAACGATCAATCTTCTCAGATATAAATGCATCACAGAATTTGTGTTTTGCTGCTATTTTAAAGCAAGTTCATTTAATCCTTAATATCCTCTTTTGGAAAAAAATCTGCATGGTTTGGTGATGACTTACTTATCTCCGTTAATCTTTTCAAGATGTAACTCTCCTCACCATACTGGCTTCTAAAAAAAACGTCTTTGCAGTTTAATAAACATAGTGAGATTCAATGTGGGTTTGAAATCAATAGTAAGTTGCATGCAAAGGAGAAAATTATTAGCCTTAAGGTTATAACAAACATGTTTGATTTCTTGTCTCCTAATAGGTATATTTTTGCTAGCATTTGTGTAATTTATTATGAATCATTTTATTGTAGTTTGCCTTCATTTATGGTTTGATATCATTTTTTTCCTCACATTCTCCCTAAAGAATAAGACTAGACACAAGACTAGAGGATCAAGATCATGTTTCATCTTGGTCCTCAAAGCAATAGCAATTTATATATACTGTGTATGAATATTATAATGTGAGGGTCTGGGGTATATCACAAGGTAAATTTGTAAATATAACCTATTGGTTCTTTCTGGGTGAAAAAAAAAACAATTATTTTTCCATGATAATCCTAAACAGAAAGTAAGATTCAAACTAAATTACTTTAAAGTAGAAAGAACAACAAAAAAAGTTTTGTAATTGGTGCATTGCTCACACCTGTTACCTGACTCAATTAGCCTCGCTGAAATGTTCATGGTCAACTTGAACAGTGACAGAAAATGTGAACTGTAACTGTTGTAAATATGTTCTCTTAAATCATTAACCCAGACTGGAACATAACAGGTGGTGATATACAGGGATGTCATTTAGACATTAAACACAAACCAGGCCATTTTCATCTTAGTCGTTGTCATTTTAGTCTTCGAGACCTTTTTTTATATTGTCTTGAAGAATCACCTCATATCAGGAGAGAAGCATAATTGGTCTGGCCTTCTCATTAATCATATCATGATGCCACATCTGTAGCTCAATTACAAAGCACTTAAATAGTGGTTTTTAAAATACACCATCATCTTTTTGTTTTTAATTTTTTAGATCATGGGTGAATTGTTTGAATGGTAGTACTGTACAGTATGTGTGCTGAAGAGTATAGCAGGGTTTAATTTTGTCCCTTGTGTTAATATCTAGTAAGGTTATAAAGATGGACATCTGCACAATGTATGAAAGATTTGATCAAAAAAACTCTCTGTGTTACACCTGCTGACAATATGTATGTCATCAGTCAAATCATTATGATGTGTTCTGAATGTGGATAGTTTACTTATGCTTGATGGGCCATAGTTGTAGCAATGACTTACTGACTAACACTATTGGACTTCATAACCTTTTATTTAATTTTAGACAAAAAGAACTATATTCACAGTCATTTTCCATCATATAGTGTCTTGGCACAACGTCAAAATAACACATCAGCAACTTTTTTTGATAAACTATTAGGTTTAAAAGCCACAGATGAAGTCAGTTTTAGCAACAGTGATAACAAACCTGATGCCTACATTCATTTGAAATCCCTCCCATTTATTTTGGTGTTGTTATACAGTACGTACTTGTAAATTGGTTATTAGGCATAAGGGAACACAGAATGAATTAATTTGTGCGATTCTATAAAATTAAATATTGTTGAGGCTCTTTTAGGGGGGAACTTGGATGTTTTACAACTGAACAAGATGGCGTGAGAGGGGTTGCTTTGAAATGAAGGCACTGTCTCAAGTGTTGAGAGTTTGGCATCAGCACCCATCAGAAAGGCCTCCTCGTGTCATTATCTGCATCCCCCTCAGGGAGGTCTATGCATAGGGGTGACCCTTATGCAGGCTGGCTGTTGTAGTAGACGTCTCACCGGGGAGCACTAATATACTTATAATAATATGCGGGCTTCTCTCCAACTCTCACTGCTAGCTAAACACCCGAACATCTTTAGAGACCCCTGAAACAAGCTGTGCCATCCCAATATCAATCCATTGCAACATGCGGTGAGTAAGACGTTTGCCACCAGAGTAAGTTCTGGTTAGAACAAACATCAGTAAATATCAGAATATTGGGACAAGGAGGCTGGGGGCTTGAACCCCACGCAGTTTACAGAGACACTAATCTACAGGACGATCTAAGGGATATCCAGGAGATCCCAATGCTGATGCCAGGCAGCTGTTCAGCCCCGTGCTGGAAATCCCACTCACAGGACCTCGCACAGCAATCTGTAAGAGGTTAGGCGTCCATTGTCTTCAATTGCTCACAGCCATCTGCCAAGCACAGGGCGTGTCGGCTTTATTTCCCCATAGCGGTGGTGGATAACCCCAAGTATTAATATATAGCGATTCCGTTACAAACGAACACGGGGAAGTTCAGATGTTTGTGAGCACTGCTGTTGTATATCTTCAGAAAGCAGCATGACTACAGATAATGAGCCAAGTGTGGGTTTCGTTTCTTTCAGGGGGGAACCCAAACGTGCGATACAGTAGCAACAGTAGAGAAGGAATGAGTAAATTGTCAACCTGCTGCACAGCCTTTGCAGCTAAAGTATAGCCATGCACTGTACATACAGTATATATGAAGCTGGTTTTCATTTTCTTTTCTGAAACCAATGGGCCCTCTTGCATTTTCCCCTCTTAATTCCTCCTTCTCCTATGCAGCAACCTCGGCGACTGATATAGAGACATCAGTCTCCAGGGTTTGAGTAGTGGAAACACTGTGACAAGTGTGGCTCGGTCCCTGGATTCCCTCCCAGCCTCTCTTAGACAGTTCCAGCTTCACAGCCACACGGCACCACACCTCAAACCGGGAAGAATGCCCCTATGCCCTGGGACGTGGCCTCGTACCGCGTTATCCATCTTCCAGACGGAGATGTCACCTTCTGGAGTGCTTCAGACAGCTCTGGAGTGAGGACGTGATGACAGGAGGTGGCCTTTCCGTTTTCATATTGTTCCTCCGGAGTCTGCTTCCAAAGGACCCGGGTTTTTCTTTCCCTTCTGAGACAACTTAGGATTGTCCGTGTTAATAAACATTCCAAAAACATATCGATGGTCCGTATGATATTTTTGTGCAATTATTTTTGTTTTCCAAAAGACCGCTCCCCAGATCATGAAACAATTTGGAAATTGCGACTTTTTAATACATCCCAATTTTTAATCGGCACACACTGGCCTACTGTATATTGATGCCACGAGCCATTAAAATCCTCTATCCATTATGTTTTTTTAGAAACGTACAAATTTGCAGTGTGATTAACTGACAATGCGATACATTTCATTATGATTATATCTTTTGAATATGAACAAAACATAAGAGTATTAACCAGAATGTATAATGTGGAGCATTAAAATACAATAAAAAGGTTAAATACTTGAAATGCAAATAAAACTCAAGAACCCCAGTAACCAAAGAATGCAGCAGGGAATCCAGTTTATAGCAACCAGCTTTAGGCATTCACAGAGCTTTGCTTAAAAAAATCTTGGCTAAGTATTTTCTGTAACCAATGGAATTCTAATAAAAAGGGAAACCATATGATAATAAAGGGCTTTATTTGCAAGGACAAGTGTGCAACAGATACATGTAGTATCTCTTATTCTGTAAACTCTGTTCTTTATAGATTCACAAACCATGAGACACATTAAAATTGCTCAATTAGATTTGTTTTGATGTATTATGGTCAGGAGCATCTGGTCTTTTTTACTCATTAAAAGTTCTGGGATACAGCAACAGTTATCTTCCTGCAAGATTACTCAGATACAGCTATGATTCCATTGTATCACCAGGCTATAGAAAAACTGATTATATTGTCCACCACAGTCTGAAGTATGGTGAGCATTTGCCCCCTTTGCCAGCCAGATCCTCTCTTGGTTACAAATGAGGACACACAGAGCCAAATCAGTCTCATGTTACTTGATAGGTACTTAATCTTTAGGTTTGTTAATCACAAAAGGGCTCACAGGGCTCTCTGATAAGGGTTATTTCAGGAAATCATTACTGCTACATATTATATTTTCATCAGTGAGTATTACATGAAAATACAGACAAAAAAGACAATACCATATCACTAGAATTAATAACGCTTTGGTATAGCTAACAATGTTTACTAATATCTTAGCACCCAAATACAGCTCACGGCAGATACATAAACCAAAAACTACAGTATAACACGTATCATATACTGTATAAAGATTTAAATATAATGTTGAACCAATTAATCTGAGTGCTGGATTCTGTGCTACATACTGTATGGAAGCATGTTTAAAATAATAAACATTGTTTTTTAGTGTCAACATATGTGTTTGTATTACATATTTAAATGTTGTATAATATATCTTAATACTAGAAAATGATGTTTATTTAAAATATGTGCAAATTATTAGGGTGATTTAGTTTTACCTCATTTTAAGTTAATGAGTATGTTTATTAACCCATATTATAATAAGAAAAGGTAATGAAGAAATTTGACTACTTCTTTCATCATACCATTTACTAATTTCTGCACATTATATACACCAGTAAGAATACCAGTGGTAAACTGCTCACAAATTAATCTCATGTTTTATTTTTTCCTAAAGTATGTCATCTCCAGGCCTCCATAAGTTTCTAATCAAATTTAAAAAAATATTTACCAGCATAAAATGCAGATCACTTTCTGTGTGTTTCCATGGTACATTGGCGACAGAATGAAATCGAAAATCCTGTTGACAGCTCTGAGTTGGGCTTTCTAAATTTCCAGCTTCATGTGTTTTCTGATTTTCTTCTGTCTTTTGCTTCCACTCAAAGAAGAACGTCTTTGCTCTGGGTAACTTTGGACCCACCAGCAGTGTTCAATGTGGTGATCATGGTGATGCAACCTGTATCCATCAGGAAGATCGGTTGCAAGAGGATTGTCACTCATTTTCTCACATCTGAGAATTATAAAGGAGTTAAACACCACCATGGAGTTTGTCTTTAAACCCAGTTTACTCATACGTTATGTCTGGCAATCTGGTATATTGTCGGATTTTTAAATTTTGCTTGGCTTGGATGGGATTAAGGACCCGGGTCTTGTGTGGCTGCGGTTTGCTCACAGCCATGCAGTGCCCTTGTGGCCAGCAGCTAGTCCTGATATCTGGACTATCTGTTAGGTCGCACCTTAGTGATGGCGCAGGCAGTGGTTTGTCTCCGTAAGGTGAACCCATGCGCTGGGCGAGACCGCTGAGAGAACTAAGGAAACAGTGCACATGTGGGGACCCTGATCAGGCAGCGGTGTGGTGCTGTAGCAGGCTGGGGGAACGGGCAGAGCATGGGGCAGGCAAACACAGTGCAGAGTTTGTGGTCAGAATCTACCAAGGGTCAAAGCTGGGAAACACTGTAGCGAACGCCAAGGGAAGCCGAGGTCAAGAACAAGGCGAAGGTCGAACATACAAGACACAGCGCAAGATCGGAAACCTTAGGAACTCGAGACTAGAAATACAGGGAGACTCAAAGCAGACCTCAAGCAGACCAGATCCCTGAGCCATGTCAGAGCAGTCCTTGAATCTTCTGCAGCACCTGATACGGGCGTGGGTGGAAATCGCTCACAGGTGATGCAGACTTCCTGTCGGAATGCATTTCCGTGGTAACCAGAACTGAGTGACTGGTGAGGGGCCGGCTACCCTGGCAGATACTGCGCTCACTCTGTGACATTGCCGCAGGGGCAAAGCCTGACACTAGCATCACGATCATTCACTAGAAGGGAAAGCAGTGTCATTTTCACTATGTTGTAATCGGGCCTCTAAGTGACCGATGAGGGACTCTGAGTCATTCAGCTGTGTAGTTGCATGCCCTTGGGGTCTCCTTCTGTCTGGGAGCATTCATTCTAACAATTCTCAGTACTTCAATTTCACTAACATGACAGCTGCAGTCAGTGACTCAATACTTGTGCTAGTCACATTTGGTTCACTCAAGCATATCCTTTTTTTAAAAAGTGTTAATCGTTTTTGAGGTTGGCAAAGCAAAAACAAACATGCTGAACAAAAATACAGAAAAAGGGTATATTATACTATATAGCATACTGTATGAAAGTGTTTGATACATTACCTTGTAAAACTTTTCTCCCACTTCCAATTTCGTGTCCCATTTTGTTGAATACAAGTGATTTACACATTAAATTTCTGAAAAAACCTGCAAGTAGAAGTGAAAAAATGTAAATTGATTGCACAAGTGTTCATAGCCTTTGCTATAGCAAATGTTAACTGATTCAGGTGCACAAGAGTACTTTGACAACTCACATGATTAGTTGAATAGCATCTGTCTGTGTGAAAATCAGTCGATTTCAGAACATGGACACCTGTTTCTCCAAAGCCCTTTAGTCAGGTAGAGAATTGCAAGCACAGATGAAACCATGAAGACCGAGAGAAAGACTGAGCTTTTACAACAACTCAGGGATAAAGTTCAAGAAAGGCAGACACAGATCATTAGAAGGGCTTTAAAAAAATGAAAGACGCTGAATATCTCTGAGTGTGGTAAAGGCATTATTCATTAAGAATTGGAAGGTGTATTGTACCACCCAGAGACTGCCTGGATCAGGCTATATCTCCAAACCGAGCAGCCAGAGAAGGAGGAAAGTAATTAAGGAATGAGGCCAGTAACAACTTTGAAAGAGCTATAAAGCTCAGTGACTGAAATGAGAGAAAAAGTTGAAAATGAGACAAGAATATCTTATTCACTCCACAAAACAAAATTGCTGTCCATCAACAATCCCCAACCAACTTGTTGAAGAAGAATGGGCAAAAATTGCACAGCCCTTTTTTGCCAAGTTGGTAAAAACAAATTCATAAAGACTGGGAGCTGTAATTTCTGGCAATGGTGTTTTCAGCAAGAATTCACTTAGGTAGGTACTGTAAATACTTATTATGTAATTAACATATTTTATTTTTCAACTTGTCTCTGTGGTGTTTGTTAACATTTAACTCGTGCAACTGTTCAGTCTGAGCATTCAGCTTATGTTAAAATGAGATGATTTTTATTTAATATCTTTTCTTCTCTAAGTATTCTATTCTCTATGGGCACACTGTATGCACCAATAGACATAAATCTGGAAAAAATGGGGAGAGAGGGAAAGAGAATTCTTAATTGTTTGATCAATGTATACTGAGAGCCATTGAATAGTCATTTGAAAGGTAAACGTATTTAGAATTTGTTGTAAATATTACTTTTAGCTAAGTAGTTTTGGCAAAGTTTAACAGGGCTCATGTCCTCTGCTTAGTACATGTCTAGACCACAGTAACTATTCATGCTTATCACTAACAGACTACAAGGATACTATTCTCATTGACTTCCTATAGCTGGAAAAGAGGGAATCACCCGTGAAGTGGGCACTCCAATTGCAGGTCATAAAGGGTTAAGAAAGGCTGTAGTGAGACAAAACATTTTCTCTGGACTTCATTTTTTTCTAGCTTACACTATTAATTCCCTTATCCATAACATAAATATGGTGAGGAAAATTAAGATCCTACCAATTAAGATGGGCCAGGTCTGTAGCCAGAAATTTCAAGTGCCAGAGTACTTGCAGAAGTTCAGAATGGCACCTGTCTGCTACCTGTCTGCTACGCTTAGTTGTGCTTAGTTGTGCTTTTGGAAGACACGGTAAAATGTGCATTCTACACAGGCTATGTTTTAATGACTGAATGGTTTGTATCTTTGCAAGATGTTGCACAAAACTAAAACAGCGTTTCTTTTTTACTGCAACATAAAATGGCTGTATCCAGCAACTCGCTCAGATCTTAAGTAAGGTTTTAATCCTAACGCTCTGCTTAAAGGAACTTGGTTATAAAAAAATCTGTGAGGCGAAGGAAAGTCTCTGATTATACTGCAACAAAAAAACAAAAACAGGCCAATAATTAATTAAAAATATGCATTGCAGCAGCACTGTCGTATAATGGTTAATGCTGCTGCCTCAGAGTTCTTGGATCTTCCACTTGATTCTAGTCTGGGGCACCTCTGTGGGGAGTCTGCATGTTCTGCCCAAGGACGTTTGGAAATCTTCTAGGTGCTCTCATTTCCTCCCTCAATCCAAAGACGC